ACCGACAACGGGAGGCTACTATGGAGAAGGTGCAACACAATTTGCTATGTGGCCACACTATTAGGATGACTTTATCTTTTTCACATACCACATCTATGTGTTTGTTGTTTGGTTTAATTACCTAAGGCATGTTAGATTTAGTCGAAGGAAACTCTATACCCAGGTTCGGTACATGTAGTCGCATGCCATTTCATGTGTTTCGTGTGTTGATTTATATAATGTCGTACGTCGTTAGGTTTTTTTGCAGCATGTGTTCACATTTCAATACGTCCGTATCATTAAGCGGAATATGAAGACCATAAATAATGAAAACAATCACATAATGAAAAGTTCAATACTATGCCACATTACACAACATATTAATACTAGAAGTACGTGCCGACAGTAGACATAGGGGCAAATGCACTTCCAAATCCTCAGTCTGAAACGTACTGAATGAGCAACTCATCATCCGAGTACCAGTCCTCTACTACAACCCTGTTGCTGTGGCTAGGCTCACTTGTGTTGCTCTGACCTGCCTATCGCCTATAGTAAGCGGCCTCCGCTTCATCTGCGGCCGCTGCGGCTTGAGTGAAGAATACGTCGTCATCCTCCTCCGCCTGTAAACCCGCCTCTGCTAGAGCGATGAGCTCGCTCAGTCTGCCAGTGTCGTCCTCAGCCTCCTTCGCCTGCATGCCCGCCTCTGCTAGAGCGATGAGCTCGCTCAGTCTGCCAGTGTCGTCCTCAGCGTCCTGCGCCTGCATGCCCGCCTCTGCTAGAGCAATGAGCTCACTCAGTCTGCCAGTGTCATCCTCATCCTCGTCCCCCTCATCAGACAACACAATCGGTGATTGAACGGTGCGACCAGCTCGTGATCTATGCTCATCTAACTTCTTCTCCTCATACCTTGCACGAGCCACCTCTACGGCATGTTCCTCACTGCAACCAATCCCTTCATGTATAAAATGCAATCAGTTAGCAATGCGATTATATTACATTTAAAATCAGGCAACGAAAAAAAGGCTTTCAAGCACTCACTGGTACATAATGTAGCAACATGCTCGTTCAAGACCTGCATATGTACTCTTGTCTCCTCCCTTGCCCTCTCCTCCTCTAACGTCATCCGCCTCTCCAATCCCCATTTGTTAAGCCCAACATCGATCGGATTACAAATACCGCGTTATCTAGCAAACTCACGCATCTTTTCTTTGTGATGTTTAACGAATAGGTTGACGTAGTCAGGTCCATATCCACTCTTCCGTGCAATTAGTTGCCTCTTCTTCAGTTCATCCAAGGACTTAGCTTGACCATCATAACATTCCCACCTGCATTTCCTAGTGCTTTGTTCAAAAGAAATATTATATCATATATGTCTTAGCAAAAGAAACAAAATATGATTTCATGTTTACCACAAAAATAACGAACCTCATCATACTCAATCATATGGCCGCAATAATGGCCTATTCCAAGCTCCAAAGGGACTAGACCATAGTTGGATTTAACATCACATTCGCACATGACAGGAGGTGCTTTGTAGATTACCCTTTCTTTCTTCTTTTCCTTAACCCTCCGCGGTTCTTTCGGCCATTGGTTCTTAGGACCATACAACCACTCCTTGAAACGACACTTCGCCATTGAAACACCTAAATAATGAGATATTAGTACATGAACACATATAGCTCAAGATTTCAACACATACACTTTGCACTTACTTCATGCTTGTTTGGACACACAAACTCCAACGTATTCTCAGGGTTTATCACAGCTCGATCTCCGCAATCGCACAGAGGAGGTTCCTCAAGTCGTCTAACTATGGCTAGGTGCTTCTCCTTAGCCGTCATTGGCGAAGGGTTAGGGGGTGGAACCCACCGCTTGAAGTGCTCACGTGGATGTCTCCCTCTAAACCAATCGTCGAAAAGGAGGTACCTAGGATTAAACTTGTCTGCACCATCGATCCACTGAAAGAAAAATCACCTCTCATGGTCCTACACAACGAGATTCTAACAAAATATTAGTAGCATACTTACACAAATAAAGAAAAAAGATAGTGGAAACAATTTCTTACATTAAAACGACTACATATGTAGAAGCAACGCGCCGCTGTGTCCGGATGTTTCGATTGAAAAACATGGGCTGGGAAACCACAGTCACAGTTAGGGACAGGGAGGTCAGGAGGGACGGGAGCATCTTTGCTAGACGCGTCGGGGTATAATTCTCAAGAACGACCCCGTTTTCGTTAAAACTCCTCCAGAAACATTTCTTGCATCTAACAAAACGAATGTAATTTAACAAACATAAATCAAAACATCACAAATAATTATCAATGAGAACCATAACTACAATACAACTAATTTCGTTCTAAGAACCAAAAGCAATTAACATTAAACCCTAAACCTAGGGTTTCTCATTTGATGCACAACAATGAACCAATAACATAACTACATGTGCCTAGGTTTGCTAGCTTTTTTCACGCCTTGACATCATCCTACGGTTGTATAATACATATATTGAGGGATACAATGAAACCCTAAGTGATGACGATTATTACGTTCAAAAATCCGACTAATATATACCGAATCGATGTGAAAAAACTAGGAGGAGAGCGATGATACCTTGCTCTCGAAGATCTACGGATCAAATCAAGGTTTTTAAGGTCCAATATGTCGATTCGTGAGGTAGGGTGAAGTGGGGAGAGAAAAAACCCGAGAGGGTGGAGAAAGAAGAGAAAAACGCTCGGGCAGAAAGGTTGGGCCAGGGTTAAATGGCAGGGAGCTCGGCGCTAGTCACTCTGACGCCGAGCTCGGCGCCAAGATCTACGGCGCCGAGCTTCCTGCCATGTCATCCACCGAGCCTAGGACCCCAGCGCCAGACGCTGACGCCGAGACGTGTTAGCTCGGCGCCAGCATCAATAACGCAGAGCTAAGGGTCCATTTTCTGAATTCTTTTCGTCAGGAGTTTATTTATGAGAAACTTCAAAAAAAAAAAGCTGAATTGTAAAAAATTCGGGTCCCCGGTGGCCTCGACCGAAGACGAAGCAGAAGCTAGGACCAGGACCGTCGTCGCTCCGTCTCCTTCCTTGCCGGGAACGCGCATGGCAGCCGTACGTTCCCAACTGCTTTGGCCCACGATCGAGCCATCGAGGCAGCCTGCGGAACCTACCCAACGGACGCGCCACCCAATTAACTACACGACCAACTGTCAATGAACGAACGCCCGGCCCAACAGTTCAACTACCTTCCTACCCGAAAGAATGCAATTCTAACACATCGTCACGTTTTTTTACCTTATAAGTCTGACCAATTATAAATAAAAAGTATCAATGTTTATAATATCAAATAAATAATATCAAATTAATTACGAAATGTATGTTCATAATAAATTAATTTAAAGATATAACTATGAATATTATTTATTAAAAACTTGATCAAACGTGAACCGCTTTTCGTGGCACGTAACTCATAGTTGCATTTTTTTTCAGGACGGAGGTAGTGTTAACAAAACTCCACCTGCCCATTGTAAGGGTCTGTTTGGATCCTATTAGGATTACAATAATTAATGATCAGCTAAAATTGTTTAATTGGGATCCAAAAAGACCGACTAATAGGGCAGATAGTTTTTTTTTAGAAAAAGAAGAGAGCTTTATTGATTACTCATGAAACAAATTACATTCTTTCGCAATCAATTACTCCACGCATTAGGGAACCTGCACATGCCACACTGCAGAGTGTGACGTGCGTTAATTACTCCCCGTCCTAAAAAAATAATTCTCACTTCCCGACAAGTCAAAATTTCGGCCTCTTTAGAACGCAGGAATCTAAAAACACAAGAATACAAAAACTAGGAATAGAATGCCCTGACATTTTGAATACTATGTATTGAGAAAACATAGGAAAACATAAGACGTTTGGATGGAGTGCAAGAAAAACACAAGAATTCGATGAGAGAGAGTGACACAAAGGAAATTCCAAAATTCCTATGAAACAAGCCAATTCCATAGGATTCCTAGGAACCAAATCCTTTGTTTCAAAAGGGTTCATAGGAAATTTTCCTATAGTATTCCAATCCTCTAATTCCTCCATTTTTTTTCTTTGTTCCAAAGGGGCCTGAATGTAATTCTTACTTGACCAAATGACTAGTACACAAATTGACCAAATTATCCTAACCTTTTCATTTTAATGTGTGCTTTGCAACTAAGCACTGTGTAACTGTCATATACCGGTACAGATCTGACCGATATTCCCTGGTCCAGGAGACATGGCGTGTTGTGTGATCCATACAGCTCAGAGGGTGACGGAAGCTTTGGCAGCTACTCCTGGGTCTTCCACGAGCTGCAGGACGAACTGGACAGCAGGATCGACCCGGACTTTGTGCGGCCCCAAGGAATTCGCCCCCAAAACGGCGTCTTGCTGCAAGAAAGCTGCGAAAATTTTCCATCACCATATTAGAAGACTCAAGGAGATACATACAACCTTCGGCCACGCATTAGGCCGCGCTTGTAGCACACAGATTACAACATTTCTGGCATAGAACTTGTCAAATGTCAGATCTGGGCTGTAGAACATAACAGCAGAAAGCATTTGAATTTTGCGACGCTTTTGATTCTGTTTGAAGATCTTGTAGATGAAACAAAGGAAAACTGATGATGTAACTTACTGACAAAATAGCAGGTAAAAAAATATTCAATTGATTGGAAGTAATCTATGTAGAGTGATGACTTGCTAAGTTGACCTAACAGTTCCATTCCTCACTCAAATTAATTAATCTAACATGACATGTTGCTGCTTGTAAGAATGGAAAAGAGAACCTAATGTACATAATTGACTAATCCAGCTCCCTCTCCAGCCTATACATTGACCGATGTTCGGAAAAAAAAACCTTACATGAATGGATCCGAGAAAAAAAAAATTCATTGTTGTAGCTCATTCCGAATAAGATAACCCAGTTTGTTGGAACCACTGCAAAGTATTTTTCCTTTTTGGGGGTATTGAAGACTTGATCTGCACTAAGCATGACATGATGTATCATCTAGCACGGGCAGTTGCTGGGTGTTTCCGCTTCTGGTTGCTAGCTGCAGAGTCTGCCAATGGTCCGGACCAGGTAGGCACTGCACTTTTGTCATAAGGAAATATGGTGCTGAAGGAAGAAGGGTCTGGGGGCTCAAATGAAGGTTCCATGTGATTCGAACAGCCCAAGGGAAATCCAAGCGCACCATCCTGGTGCGGTGGTGGGAACTTCTCACTCTTGCTCTTCGCATTTGCATGAGTTATTAACCTTCTTTTCTGTAGATAAAAAGAGAATTATGTTAGCCATCAGACTAAATTTGGCACCCTTCCAGATGCTATGCAAACAGGTTCATGATAATGAACCCTCAAAAAATAAGGAATTAACATACATCAATATTTGCTTGCAGTTCGGCGTTTGCCTCTGGAGCTGGAACAGCCCTAGGCCGATCCCGTGTCCTTGTTTTCCTTGTTCCATCTCCATTAGCTCTACCACCAGCAGCCCTTAAGCTGTTGTCCATCCAATAAATAAGCCAGTCAGCCAAAGAGCAACCAGAATGTTAAGATAAAGTGTAGTAAGACAACTGCATCTAACAAGGACAATATACAACAGAAAAGACGGGAGGACAAATTGTTTCATGACTCATCATGATGTGTAACCAGTATTCCATGATGATGTCTAAGCATTATTCTCAACAAGTTCCAAGAAATCCTGGAATCTTGGCACGACAGCCAAGACTCCCACTTTAGTATACTCCTAGATCGGAACATGTCCTAGCAGTGGACCAAAGTTACTTTTGAGACAAGAAATAAAATTTTCTTAAGCTGAACACATTTTTGTCATGTTTTGTCTTCCGGTCATCAGCATGAGCACTGTTGCCACAAGTTTTATCGCACATGGAAGATGCGGATGTAGGCAAAGTATCAACTACAGATTTCATATCACTACGCATTGTTTTGCATAGATGACAATATAGAGCATCCAGAACAACAAATGCAAAACATAGATGGAAAGTTGTGAGTGTTAGGGCAACAAACCGTCTAGCTTGTTCGTCTCTTCGTTTCGCATCCATCTCTTTGCTTGGTGGGTATTGGGGCAGACTTGATGGTTCACACGCATAAGGCTCTGTTGCAAAGAACTGCATGTATAGTGAAAGTAAGGGTCAGGGTCTTGCTTTTGAAAAGAATTGTTCACAGTAACAACGCATAAATTACTGACATAAATTCAAATAAGACCAGTAATATTGTATTTAAAAGGAATAACATTTGGACACAGGTACCAAGGGGCCTTCATAAATCTGAACTAAAATTTAAGAATCAAGGTGGTTTAACTAAACAGAAATACCTTGATCAATACATAGGTAACAATTTTAAGTTGTTATGGCTACAAGTCATTATACTTCCATGTCCTGTAAAAATTGAACTATTGTTGTCCTCTAGAAATCTGGAAACAATGAACACCTTTTTTTCAAGGACTAACATAAAGTAATGAACTGTTAACTAGCTTGTCTATATTCCGTTCCAAAATTCGATTTGAGAAACCAAAGTGGTCAACAAGTCGTATACTTCTATGTCCAGTAAAAATTGAACTATCGATAACCCTATGAAAATCTGGAAAAAGGAACATTTTTTTCAAGGACTAACATGGAGCACTAAACTAGCTTCTATCTAATCTCTTCTGAAAATCGATTTGAGAAACCAAAGTGGTTATTACCGTCAACCATTGGGTGCTAATATTCCTGGTGAACTAGTATGCTGTCGTTAATGACATCAGGGAAGGTAATTAATCCATAAAGCAAAGTCGGTGTTTTCTCTGGTAAAGAAAATAAGAACAGAATGATAAGAACTAAGACAACTTACGTCACTGTTTAATGCAGAAGTTGCTGTTAACCGATCAGCTGGATCAATTGCAAGTAGTGTCTCAATCAGTCGAATTGCTGTTTGAGGGAAATCTTTGAATGTATCCGCTATTCGCCTTTTATATGGCTGTTGAGGCTTAAATATAGTTGCATGAGGCAACTTTGATTTTTTCCAATATTCTTCCGTCGGAGAGCCACATAGCTTAAAAATTTTATGCAGTGTTCCACCTGAAAGACAGACACCCAATCAAAAAAGGAAATATCATGGAAAGCAATGGATGAAAATAAAAATTATGACTGAACATATGACCATCACTAAACTGTCTGAATTTTTTTTTAAAAAAAAAAACAGTTGCATTTCCAAATTATTTCATTGAATTGTTTGGTGCGAACAATAATTCAGCATCAGAGCTCTGAAGAAAGGCATGTGATTCAGGGTCTACCGTGTAACAAAGGTGGCAAGAGACACTAAGCAGATAAAGATTTTCAGATGACTGATATGTTCTTTATTCCAATAAATCAGGTACAGGTCTGCATTGTCAAGAAAGTACATTTGTAGTAAAACTATTAACCCTGATGAAAACATGTCCTTTTTAATCATCAGAAGGGTCATTTTTTATATGATTTTGCTAAAAAAATGAAATATGATTTTCATCAACAAGGACATTTTGTATGACACCCAGAGTTAGAATAGGTTAAGCTATTGCTCAATTATCTAACAAGATAACAAAACTAATATAGCTTGGGTAAGAAATTGAAAATTCGGAGGTTTGCCTCCACATGAGAAGTAGTGCAGTACTGCAGCAGGATCACAACTAAATAAAATACACTACGATTCTCTTGGTAACGAAAATTTCACAGCCTTGGTAAACAGAATCCTTAAATGGCGAGTGCTAGTAATAGCCAGACGGTATTTCAGGGACAATATAATGCAACAGTGAAGCATTCTGTAGCTAACCTCAGTCCGTCCAGGCATAATAGGCTTTCCAGCCAGCAATTCAGCCAGTATACATCCTGCACTCCACAAGTCGACGCCAACTCCATAATCCGTCGCACCCAGCAGCAACTCTGGAGGGCGGTACCAGAGTGTCACCACCCGACTCGTCATTGGCTGTTTATGGTTGGGGTCGAAGAAGGACGCCAGACCGAAATCACCAATCTTCAGCACACCGTTGTTGTCCAAAAGCAGATTTGATCCCTTGATGTCGCGATGTAGCACTCCCAGGTTGTGGCAGTGCTCGAGCCCTGACAACAGCTGATGCACATAGCACTTGACCTGCCCCCATATAAACACCTCTCAATCAGTCGCATTTCACATAATTGAGCGCGATGCTGTGTCAGGCTGTCAGTGGAATGGGATCTTGACCTGGGGCAGCGTGAACTTGATGTCGGGGCTGGCGGCGAGGCCGGCGAGATCGTGGACCATGTAGTCGAAGACGAGGTAGAGGCTGCACGACATGCGGGAGGTGACGAGCCCGTCGAGCTTGATGACATTGGGGTGGTCGAGGCGGCGCAGGATGAGGATCTCGCGCGCCATGAACCGCACGCTCTCGGGCTCCAGGTTGTCGAAGCGCACCTTCTTGAGCGCCACGATCTTGCCGCTCAGCGAGTCCCGCGCCTTGTACACATTGCTGTACGTGCCCTGGCCGATCTGAGAGAGACAGGAAGAGAGGGAGAGGGTGAGGGGGAGAAAAAAAAATGCAATTTTTTCACCTCGGCGTTCGCGCTGCACGGATCACGGAGCTAGGGAGGCGGAGGAAAGGGCGCACCTTGTCGATCTTCTCGAAGGAGTCGGCGCGGCGAGGGGTCCAGCCACCGATGGCCTCGCCGGCGACGGCGGAGAGCCAGGCGGGCCAGCCGGCGGCGACCTGCTCGCCGCGCGCCTTGTTGGCGAAGCTCCCTCCCAGGCGCACCTCGGCGTGCGCCGCTGCCGCGGCGGCGGCTGCGGAGCGTGACGACCGCGACCGCCGCTCCCGCTTGACCTTCTCGGGCTTCTCGGCCGCCTGCTGGTCCGGCGCCGCGGCGTCCGCCGGCGGCACCGTTGCGGCGGCGTCGGAGGAATCGACCCCTTCCTGCTGCGGCTGGGTGACCGCGGGATGGTCCCGGCGGCGGGAGGAGGTGGCGACGGGCGCGGGGCTGGAGGTGGTGGGGCGGCCGTGCACGCAGCCCATGGCCGGCCGTGGGGGCGCTGGTCACCGACGGCCGGGCATGGGCCGGGGCTGGCGCGCGAAGCTTCGCCGCAGGAGGGAGGTCCGGTCGCGATCCGGAGGCGGCGGCGCGGGGAGGCAGGCGGGCGGGTGGGAAGCGGAAGGCGGGGTTGGAGGTGGTGGTGGTGGTGGGGGCGAGTAAAGTAAAGCTTGGGCGAGTGAGGGAACGGCACGGGCACGGGGCTGGTGGCCAGTGGAACGGAACGGAACGGGACGTAACGCTTTGACTCTGACGGGTCTGCACCACCATGCTGTCCTCTTCCTCTTCGATGTGCCTACGCCGGTAGGAGGACGACCAAGCCCTATGCACAAATTCACCAAGGACAGGAGGGTAATTTACTAGTAGCAGGGAGCAGAAACTGAAAATTAATTCACGAGGCTTGCTGTTATCTAGGTGGCTGAATTTTCGAACAATAATCAGCCTAATCGACAGACCGTAAACGATCATGAATTATTTACTGACTGGTTTGGTTTTAGAGAAAAATATTATTTCAACTTATAATCCACAATCATATACGAGCAAACGAACAGGCTGAATATTAAACAGCTAACTAGTATAATTAAAAAATAATGCATAAGGGATTTTATATTTTTTATAGTCAAACAATTATAAAATTATATATTGCCTAAATAACTAAAAGAGAAGTGTAAATGTATTTGTATAACTAGAAGAGAAGTGTAAATGTATTTGTTCTTAGTATTTTATTACTCACACACCGAAGCGCAATCCTACGAAGTAGTAAGTACTCTTTTTTCCTTTGATAAATTGCTAGGGGAGGGAGGATCCCCACCTCCAAATATATTGCTTTTTTTGGCCCTGCTGTCCCAGCAAATTAGGGAATTACATTGTTATTAGGCCCCGTTCGCTGGTCTGAACTTTGGCTGAAACTGACTGAAAAATACTGTTCCGGCTGAATTGTTGTGAGAGAAAAACACTGTTCCGGTTAAAAAAACAAGCCGAACAAGCCAAATTTAAGACAAACGAACGGAGCCTTAGTAGCCAAGAGACATTAGGTACAATCTCGGGACTGTCAAGCACTCTCTCCGTACACAAAAATAAAGACATTTTGGACAAGGCTTGGGTCAAACATTGAGAATATAAATCATAAATAACTCTTAAGTTATTGAATTTGAAAATGTGAAAGCCATATAAATAGATTTGTCTTGAAAAATACTTTCATAAAAATATACATATATCACTTTTTGATAAATATTTTTATAAAAACAAGGAGTCAAAGTAATACTTTGGAGACCGTGTCACTGTCCAAAATGACTTTATTTTTTTAGTATGGAGGAAGTATTATATATCCCCTGAGTTCGGCGTTCGCTAATTATGAAGGTTCAACTGTCAAGTTTGTCTTTAAGCTTGAGTATTAGAGAGTCGAGACTCGAGGGAGTATATATAAATGTATGATGGTAAATAAATTCAGAGTTGAGAAAAAAAGAGAGCCTGTATGCTAATTGAGCATCTAGAAAAACAGTGCCATTTTTTCGTTTGATGTTTTGCTTATCCAGAGGAAGTGATGATTTGTTTTGGTAGCTTTTGTGCACGCTTTTTTTCTTCTTTTCTTTCTATATATGCATGTTGGGCTCTTGAGAGGTGTTTTCTTTATATTTTCCCTAGGGATGTGACCACAGCCATGAAAAGAATAAAAGCTGAGGGGCAGGCATCGGAGGGCCCTCGGGTTTTTGTCTCATGGGGAAGGAGACACAGGCAGACAGGGTGCCTATAATGCATTATTATGCATGCATGGGATTATCAACTGCAAAAGGGAACAAACAAAAGGGCAATAACAAGCAGGGTTATGTATGTATGTGCTTTCAATCATGCACATGCCCTCTTTTCAACAGAAAATTGGGATCAAAGCTGTCGGATACCAGAAAATGGGGTACCCCAAGCAAAGATCGAAAAACTGCTTAGACCCTAAAAACAGAACCAACGGAATAAACAAACGAGGTCTCGGCCGAAATCTCCGATTCGCCCGAGACCCCGTCGCCGAGCCCCAGCGGAAGCAAACGATTCTCCGACTCGCCCGAGACCGCCTCGCCGAGGCCCCCTCGTCGAGGCCCGTTCGTCGAGCCCCCCTCGCCCGGGGCCTCGGAAGAAGTGCCGATTCTCCGATTCGCGCGAGGCCGGCTCGGGACCAACCCCGTGACCGCCTCTTCGACCGAACTGCTCTGACCGAACGTCTCATCCAAGCGTCCAACCACTCCGACAGACGCACAATGGCACAGTACAGCGAAGTGACCGACTACACGCCAGTCGCGTCAACCTCCTGCCATCTGCGCGACGCACGCAGGCGGGGGTTACCGACCACCGTTGTCTTTGCCTAACTCCTGCACCAAAGACATCGCAACGCTGGAGTTAGAACAGTTTCAGAGCCTCGAATCGGCGGACCGACCGCCTCGTCTCGCCCGAGCCCCCTCGACGGGGCCTCAGATTCACCGATCTTTCTCCGCCTCGCCCGGTCAAGTCCGCTTGAGACCCCCGGTGAGGGCTCTCGACGAATTGGCCATTCACCTCCCCGAGGCCGGGCTCATCCATAACCTCGTTGCCTCCGCCTCAAAGGTCTCTCCGGCAGTCAGTCGCGATCTCGATTAATGCGCTCAGTTGCACCCGCCACGTAAGCCACGATCGGCGGTCTTGGCTGCAATAGGAGCGACGGACAACGGTCGATCACCTTTTTATCATCCCTCACCGACAACACAGTGCACCGTATCCTCAGAGGCGCCGTCGTCTCTTCATCGTTCCGCTTTGATGGCCACCGAGACCCACATCCGCACTGGGTCACTTCTCGAGGCCTCGACGCGGCGAGCCTCGGCTGACAACAGCCTCGGCACGACCGGCTATGATGGCCGCCGAGCTTCGGCAATCCACCAAGCCAACAAATACGCAAAGATGTTACTTGCGGTGGAGACCATACCGATTAGACATCTCACGAGAACTCCCACGACAACGCCATGTCGCTCCGAGGAGTAAATCGTCATCGAATAGTCCGCTCCACGTGTAGCTCTCTTATGTACTCCCGGTTTCCTCCTGCGCTATATAAAAGGAGGCAGCCAGACCGCTTTAGGGACGGCGGATAGAGTCACGAATACTCGCACGAACAACACGCCTCATTCTGTAATTCATATCACCTCCCCTCACAGAGATCTGGGACGAACTCCCTCTCTCTGGTCTAGCTTGTAACCCCCTACTACAAGCAACCCGGTGCAAAGAATACAAGAACATCTTCTCAGACTGGACGTAGGGCATCCATCGCCCGAACCAGTATAAACCTTGTGTCTCTTTACATCACCATCCGGAATTGGGAGCACGCAGCACAAATTCACTAGTCGGTTAAGGACCCCCGATTCCGAAACGCCGACAAAAGCCCTTTTCCACGTAAAAGAAAGAATTTCACCATCTTCCTTATGTTGTGTGTGTGTATGTGTGCTACTCTGCTGTATCATTTCTTGCTAAATAATGGAGGACAGCTGAATGAAAGCCTGAAAGCAATGCTAATCTCCCTTTGACACGCAACAGTCGCTCTCGAGACAATATTGTTTATTGACGACAACGAAAGAGGATGCGAATTGACTCAACAAAAAAAAATCCATTAGCCTGTTCGACTCATGGTTTGTACGATTGATAAGCCAACTAATACTGTTTTGCTATAAGAAAAAAATAATATACCATAACTAATAAATATAGCTGATAAGTTCTGAATGTTAGTACTACTAGCGCCCTGTGGCTACTACTTGCCAGAAAGATCCAAGAGAAAACGACGAGCAGCAGAAGGTCACCAACTCACCGTGTCCATGATGTCTTTCTACTACTTGCCAGAAAGATCCAAGGCCACGTTTAGTTGGTCACCAAGTTGGCGCCGACTGATTTCGCGGAGCACTGTAGCTACAGTAACTTGTTAGTTTTTATTTGGTAATAATTGTCCAAATATTGACTAATAAGGCTCAAAACGTTCGTCTCGTAAAGTACAACCAAACTGTACAATTAGTTTTTTATTTCGTCAACATTTAGTACTCCATACATGTACCACAAATTTGATGTGACGGGAAATCTTCTTTTTACATAATGTCAAAATTGGTATTGTGGATGAACTAAACAGGGCCCAAGGCCTCGTTTACACAGTGTCGATTTGTTTTTATTTGGTAATAATTATCCAATTGTTGACTAATTAGGCTCAAAACGTTCGTCTCGCAAAGTACAACCAAACTGTGCAATTAGTTTTTGATTTCGTCAACATTTAGTACTCCATATATGTACCGCAAATTTAATGTGACGGAGAATTTTTTTTTTCATAGTGTCAAATTTTGGAATCGGAGGGAACTAAACGCGGCCCAAGAGAAAACGACGAGCAGCAGAAGGTCACCAACTCACCAGTATCCATCAACGCGGCCCAAGAGAAAACGACGAGCAGCAGAAGGTCACCAACTCACCAGTATCCATCTCTGAAAGACTGAAACTTTGTCATGGGTGAATCCCGAGGAGGAGAGGGGATGGGGAGATGCCTTGGAAGAGACGGACATGTCTGCACTACACACCGGCAGACGCCGGGGGACACCACCCATTCGTCCGCCGGGCTGCTGCGTGCTGCTCCTCGCCCTGGCCCTGGCCCTCGCCCATACCCGTACGGCGCCACCTGCCCACCTCTCGGAGTTACTGCTGCAAACCGCGTTGCACGTACAGTACACTGCATTTGCACAGGAGGTGGCAGAGGAACACGGCGCCTGAATCCAGGGAATGGCCTGGCCCTGGCCCGGCCTAGATGCATGTGTCGTGATTTTTTCTTCTTTTTGGTAGAAGAAATGTTTTAAGTATGCATAGCTTAATAACATCCTTTTAAATCCTATGGATAGATGAAGCCGTCCAAATCCAAAACATTGGCTCCTCTTGTTTCTCCACTTTACCAATTATATATATTTTATCGAAGCTAGAGCCATTTTTGTTTCGCAGTACATGGCTA